TCCTGTTTGAGGCTATACCCTCCGGGCTGCATCTTATCCCTGACTGCAATTGCTGTGGCTTTGAGGTGTATTCTGTGTACTGTCCATGTCTTTCTGCCTGGAGTGGAGGCTCCTTGGAAGCAGGAACATTTGTCAGCTCAGTCCCTTCTTCTGGAGCTTAGCTCATTGCCAAGGCAAACAGCAGGTGCTCATATGCATGTGGGGAGTGAGTGAACTGTGAGTGGAGACAGGTGGGACAAAGTTGTCTTTTTCATGCCCATTTTATGGATTCAGAAACCCAGAAAGGTTACTTCCCAAGGCAGTGGTCTCCGCGGTCAAACCTAGAATAGAGACTTTGGGGCTCTGGGTGCGTCCAGGGGAACAGGCTTGGGGCGTTAGAGGGGTCTCTGCCTGCAGGGGTCATGGCTGGGATGCTTGGTCCTTCCTAACAGGAGGCTGCCGGCACCTGTCTACCTGTACCCGGGGAGGCCCGTGCCTTTCCCTCTGCCCTTCTCCCAGAGGAAACAGGCACAGGATTTCTTTCAAGACAATGCCTCTGGTGTTTTGTCAGCTGACAGAAGATAGTAGGTCCCACAAGGTAGTAGATCCCACAAGCTGTCCCCGGAGCTTCTGTGTAAAGCTTAGTGGCACATAAAGCATGTGAGACATTTGCCTTTCACAGAGAGAGGGCCGATGACACCACACCGAAGTGACAGGCAGTCCCTTTGAAGAAGCCGGCCCTTAGATCCTTAATTAGTTCACACGTCAGCTGAATTTTTCAAATAAATGAATTTCAATGACATCTCAGGTTTAAAAAAAAAGCACTAGAGCTTCAAAAGCTCTGGGTGTTGTAGCCTTAGCTGCTCTAGAAGTTTCCTAGCCCCTAAACACTCCTGCACTGCTGGAAGCCTGTTTCGATTAAAGATGAAGCACACAAATTTCAGAGGGAGCTTCAAATGTTTGGAAAGAGTCTGTGAGAAAAAGTAATGCACTGTCCCACGCAGATGGGGGTTCTGAGGCAGAGTTTGTGGGGGCTTGCGGGAGGCTTTTGGACATAGTCCCAGGAAGCCAGGCTGCTCCTAGAGTGATGGTGATACATAGTCTTTATAATAAAATGTGATAAAATTCATATAATGAAATAAACTATAAATATAAATTAAAATGAAAACATCATAACATTTAATAGCAGGTGCTCCTGAAGCTCTATGTGTGTTAGACCCATTTACTTTTGTGTCCATATGCCCCCCAGGATAGGGTCTGTCACCCCTGTTTGATATTTGAGGAAATAAACTCAGGGTAAGGAATTCACTCGGGGTCCCCAGATGTGGTGAAGTCACATCATTGTTGGAAACTCCCTTCTTTGAGGTGTGTGTTGGGATTCGGGAATGAGCTGTGGATTTTCATAGTCTGTAGTCCTGGTGAGGGAGAGCCTGAATTCTGGGAAAGAGATCCCTTTCCCGGTTTTTCTCTCCAGAATATGCATCACTGGGGGACAGTGGGGGGTTTGGTTCGACACACAGCTGGATTCTGATCAAATGTGCAACATTACAAGAATTCATTGCTCACACTGACCTCACGATATTTTTGTGATGGCCTCATGTTCTAGACGACCCCCCCGCCTCCCGGGGACAGCATAGAAAGGTTCTAGAGAGTTGGTTCTGGCCTTGAAATTGCCTTTCTCAATACACTTTTCTCCCCCAAAGAGGGGACCCTTGTTTTTCCAGGCACTTTGGTGTCTGTTTTCAGACCTGCAGGGGACCCTTGGAGCTGAGACTCATCTGCGGTTGGTGCTCCAGGTTGAGATGGGGCCTTTGGGTTTGGATGAGAGCTGAGGGATCATTTTCCCTTCAGGTTTAAATGTTCTTTTTTGTTTGTTTCTTCTGCCTTTCCCTGACAGTATACGCTTAATGGCAAGAAAGTAGAAGTGGCTGTGAGGCAGATCATTGCTGGCAAAGCCGTGGAGCACCGAGGGGCCTTCTCTAATCCCGAGGCACTGGATCTGTACCAGGACATCCCTGAGCTGCAGGACTTCTGACGGCTGGCATGGCACTTGGTGGCACACGTGCACTCTGACTCCTATGTGCTCGACACATTACTTGGAAACCTACAGCTGTTTCAAAAGGATGCCTGTGCCAAGCGCTCTGTAGTTTGGGGTGGGGGAATAGGTTCTGTTCTGTAGTTAAACCCAGGGGGTGCCTGGGTCTTCTGCACCCTTGAGCTGGACTCCGGACTTCAGAGACCACAGGGAGCATCTGGATTGCACTCATGGCACCACGGTGACCACATGTGTGTCTTTGCACACATGGTGAAGAGGGGCATAGAGTGGCTGGTGCTCCTGTGACAGGCATACACTCCTAAGCCGTGATCTTGCCCTCCACCTCCTGCCTCCGTTGTTCCATTTCACTCCGTAAAGGTGCAAACCATTTCTTCCCTTGGCACCTATTTCTCCTCAGGGCCATCCATCCGTTGCTGAGATTTAGCTGTTACGAGGGATCCTCCTGCACAACTTGACACTTATTTTCCTGGCTGGCTGTTAGGCCTGCGCTGGCCACTCACACATTTTCTGCCTCATGGGCAGAATTCCAGGAGGACTGTGTGTCACACTCCAGCCAAAGAGCACCTCTCAGCCAGCAGGAAGGTCTTTTCACTCTGTAACAGGATCTCTTTATTGCACAGACTTTGCATTTAAATGTATTTAATGCCCAAGTATCTGGTGTGTGGTGTATGATACAGTGGGTGTCCACTCTGGGTTCTTAGCGGATGCCTCCCCAGCCAGTGCCCTCACGAGGGTCCTCTGGAGACAGAGCCGCCTGGCCTCAGGAGGAGTGGAATCTCTGCACCACCTCTGCCTGAGAGTTCTTGGTGTGTACATGCTGAAACTATGTCATCAGCCCTTACAAGTGCAGTCATGGGCTTCGACAATCAGGTAGTTCGTATGTACCTTTAGCATGTGTGTCAGTAATCCTGATGTTCACATTTTAATTTTTTTTAAACTAAGCACAATGAAATACTTTCCTGAATCCTTCTTCTTCTGGATAATAAAAATATAGGGGGAAGGTGCTCTGAGGAATTTTATCTAATAAATAAACATATAGGTGTATGTGTACACCCATCAGTGCACGCATGCCTGTTTTCTCCCAAGAGGGTGACTGCATCTGCGTGTGTGAGGCTGCTTGTGCCAAAGCACCAGCCCACACCTCTTCCCTGGAGTTATTTGGGGCCTAATTTGTGGGGGCATTTTCTGGGCCCCTGGTATTTAGTCAAAGTCCCCCATGACTGACTGGCCAAGAATGCTGCTCAGTGTGCAGACAGCACCCCGGCTGCCCCTTGGCCCAGAGCCCGCTGGGTTTCTGGATGTCAGCACTTGTAATCCCAAGAGCGGGTTGTGCTTGGCTTCATGCCAGAGAATCCAGGCTCAGCCCAGAGGGGTTTGCGGTCTTTATGTCACTGGAAGTCAAAGGCTGGCTGTTCTTCTGGGGCTGAGGGGTAACTCCATGACGCAGTGGTCCCCAGCTCCTGTTTTCTGCTCCTCAGTAGGTAGCTGCCCCACCTCCAGGGGGGAAGAAGGAGGCAGTGACAAGAGGGCTAAGATAAAGGCAGAACCCTGTACCTCTGGAGTCTGTCCCTTTTTATTGGCAAGATGATGACTGTTCTGAAGACCTACATCTGCTGTGCCTCACCAGCCAGTATTGGGGCACATGGCCCTTGCTGCAAGGGCAGTGGGGATCTGAGTATTTTGAAAAGGACTTATTATATTTTTCTATTTGTTTCCTATGGTTGTGGGTAACAAATTATTACACACTTAGTGGCTTAAACAGCCTAAGTTTATTATATTTCTGGAGTCAGAAGTCGAGTGTCAGCAGGCCTGTGTTCCTTCTGGAACCCCCAGGGGAGAAGACACGTCTCTGCTGGCTGTTCTCAGCCGTGGCTGGTTGCACCTCCTTCCTCCTGCTGCACTCCTGACACTGATGCTTTCACCTCGCTCTCCAAGTGTAAGGACCTCCCTATGGCTACCCTGGGCTGCTCGAGTCACCCAGTGTGATTTCCCCCACTGTAGCAGCCTAAACCCCCGCTTTCCAAGTGTCTCAGTCAGTCTTGTTGGCTATAATAATACCTGGGGCTGAGGAATTTATAAAGAAAATAGGTTTATGTGGCTTGTGACACCTGTTGGAAAAATTCACGATTGGGCAGCTGTGTCTGGTGAGGGCCTCAGGCTGCTTCTGTCAGGGCAGAGAGCAGGGAGCTGGCATGTACAGGGATCACATGGCGAGAGAGGACGCCAGACTCTTTAGCAGCTGGGCTCATAGGAGCTAATCCATTCCCAGCCCCCGGGAGCATTAATCTGTTCCTGAGGGATCCATCCCATGACCCAGACACCTCCCACTAGTTCCTGCCTCTCAATACCACATTGGGGATCAAATGTCACCCCAAGTGTGGTGGGGACAAACCACACTTGAACCTCAGCACCATGTAAACTAACACTCAAGGGTTCTGAGGTGAGGATCTGGGCATCTCTGGGGGCTGTGGTTCTGTAGACCTCACAGTTAAGGTCCCGGTTCTGAGGTGAGGATCTGGGCATCTCTGGGGGCTGTGGTTTTGTAGACCTCACAGTTAGGGTTCCGTCACTGAGCAAGAAGTGGAGGCCTTCCTTGGGAAGGTATGAGTTCTGAGCAGGAAGGCAGGAGCACTAGGGCACCCTGGTTGTTGGCGACCTTTGGGCTGGGCTTGTCCTCTCATGTGACCAACCTGCGGACCTCACCTAGGATTCAAATCACACCTGTGGCCCGCCAGGCCCTCGCTGGCTGCTCGGTGCTTGGAGACCCCCTTTGTATTGACAGTGCGTGAGGAGTCATTATGGCTTAATCAGCATGGCCTTTAGTGCAGCAGAACGGCCCAGGCTGACTAAGCCCACGCGTCCTTATTAATAAGCTGTGCTGGACAACTTCATTAATGAGAGACAGATGGTGAGGAACAACAGGCGCTCAGTGCATGCAGTGCTGAGCCTGCCTTTGACGTTCCTTGGACTGAGCATCACTCTCAAAACCCCACCACCTGCTGGCCAGCTGCCTTTTCCTCTCTGAGATGGCCTCGAGCTGCACCATGCCTCCTGCCATCTTCCAGCTCCCACCAGGCCTGTCCTGGCAGCATCTCCTGAGGGATCGGGATCTGCCACTTGGCCTGGCTGACTCAGCCCTCTGAGCAGCTGGTCCTCCCTAAGCTGTTCCTTCCCACCCCCGGGAGCCTTCTCAGGTTGGGGGCTCCTCCGTGCTTTTCCGGTGCCCAGCCCACTCCCCTGTCTGGACAGACCCTCCTCAACTCCAGCTGTGGGGATTTGCCCTCTTGTCCTCCATGCTGCATTCTGAGACCTTGGGGACAGTCCCAGGTGAGGTGACTTATCTGTTTCCCAGGCAGGTGGCTTGAAGCCCACCTGGGCTTAGAAACAGCATTTTCCTGACCTTGTCGCTGAGGCTGAAGGTGAGCAGATGAGCTGGTCCCTTTGGGTCTTCAAATGTCCGAGTGAAGGTCTCAAGGGGGAAAAAATCCCTTTGAGGATCTAGCTGCAGGCTGACAGGTTCCCCTAAATCTGGCTCAATCTGGGTTGTTTTCTGTAACAGCCCCAAGGTAAATGGGTGGGCCAGCAGGAGCAGAGGTGTAGGTGGCTTTGTTTCACAAAGTCACCAAGGGCCATGCTACTCCCATCTGGTTGCTGTACCATCCCCTGGTGTGAAGGTATTGTCCATGGTCCCCACAGGGAAGGGAGATGGAGGAGGTGGCCTGACTCTAACCCATGTCCCATAGACCACAATGTTGTCATATGACTGCTCTCAGATGTACATGAGGCCCATGCCGTCCCAGAGCCCTGGTGGTGGGTGGGGCTGGCTCTGTGACCAGGAGGGGTGGGGACAGCAGCAGTGAGGAGCCAGCTCATTTTCCTCCCATAGGGATGAGGGAGCCTGGCTGTGGCTATGTCCCAGCTGGGGTGGGGTCTTCCCTGCTGGGTCCTGCTGACCTGGAGCTGTAGAATCAGGCTGGCAGGGCATGTGTGTCTGTGTGTACACAATGGTGATGCTGCTCTGTTTGGTGTTTGAGTCTCTGTTTTGAAGTGTGAACTGTGGGGTTTGTGGGACCAACTTGTCAGTTTTCATAACACTTTGTATGTGTGTACGTGTATATGAATATGTCTAGGCATGTGTGAACGCATCTGTGCATGTGTATGTGTGTGAGTGTGCACATTTGTGTGTGATGTGTGTATATGAATGTGTATATTATATGAATATAGATGTGTATGTGTGAGTGAGTGTACGAGTGTGTGTGCATCCATCCATGTGCCCTGCAAGTCCAGATTGCACAAAACCCAAAAGAACAGAGCTGTGAGAGTGTCATAGCCTGGTTCTCTAGAACCCTGATCCATCATAGCTGCTCACAGCTATGTGACTTTAGCCTGTATCCTCAATGGTTTCCAGTTTGGTGACAGCTCCTGTGTCCCAATGAAGTGGATTTTCTTGAGTATCCTGCAGAACCAGAGGGCAGCTACTAACTGGTGTCCAGCTGATCTGTGTTTGCACTGGAACAGTGGTCCCCAAGGTAGGTGAGCTCCTTGTACCATGTGGGTTGGGTCTCATGGAGGCAGACAGATAGGTGACAGGAAACAAGAATGTCTCATGGGACACAAGGTAGGGAGGCTCAGGTGACATAGCCTGAGAGGTATGACACCACCTCAGGAAGACTGTAGGACAGCCAGGCAGGCAGGGGTCCTGAGGAGGGAAGGAACTGACCTAGAGGAACAAAAAAGGCTCTTTTGAAAACGCAGGGGCCAGAGAGCAGGAAAGGCAGATAGAGGCACAATGCCAGGTGGGGATCATATTCTAAGGGCACCCAGAAGCCAGGGAGGATTTTGAGTCCAGTACTGACATCATCAGATGAGCATTTGTAGGGTCTCACTGAGGACAGTTCCTTTTACTGGGTTTGGTAGGGGCCACGGGGAGGGGTTTGGTTTAGGGGGTGGGTGGTGAGAGACTTGGCCTCAGCTCACCGGCTTTCTCATTCCCCTCTTGCTCTTCTCCCTCTCTGTACCCCAAGCACAAAACATGAGGGTGATTCTGGTCATTAAGCAAATAGGTGTTGAACATACAGCAGAGACACTCAGGAGGCCGCCTGCTTAGGCCCAGAAAGCCTGACCTGGCTTTGATGAGCGATTCTTTCTCTCTGAGTGGCAATGGCCTTTATGTTAGTGCAAACTATTCCTAGAAGCCTCCTGTCATTTTGTCCCCAAACTTTCATGACTGTCATAAGCAAATAAGAAAAGGCCTGTTAAGAAGATGTTCAAAATATATTACGAGTGAAACTCTGGCTCTGTGGTCATGGTTGATTGTGTTGGAGAGCATGTTGGCCCTCACAGCAGTAAATGGATGGTCTAATAATTTCATTAGATGACTTCCAGGGGAGAAACAGTTGTTAGTCAATTCATTATGTGCTGGAACAATTTCCAAACTTTTTCATTGCAGGGCTCCCTCCCTGTGTTTCCTCCTATTTCTTTCTTTTGCTGCCTCCAGCAGAGATCACAAGTCAGGTTGGGTCTAGGGGAGAGTGAAAGGGAGTAGTTGTCAAATGGACCCACCTGGCTTGGACCCAGTTTTCATTTTGCAGGCTCATCTGTCTCACCAGTCCTGTTCATTGGCTACCTGCAAGGCATGGTCCAAATGTTTTTGGCATCCATTTCCTCTTTTCAGTCATGACTCTCTATCTATTTTGTTGGCAAGAAGTAACCAAAACCCCAACACCAACTGGCTTAATCAAAAAAGGGTATTATTAGCCCACTGTTTTGAAAACTGCAATGCTATACAAGCTTCTGGTGTGGCTGGATCCAGGGGCTCCATGATGTCATCAGTATTCTCTCTCTCCATCTCAGCTCTACCTTCTATGTTGACTACATTCTTAGATGGAGTCTCTTCTCCAGATGGCAAGATGGACACATACACCTCCAGGGTTACATTCTTACTTACAGAGCTAAGAGGGGGACAAAGATTTTCCCCTCCCTCTGTAGCGCT